AGTAGCAGTAGTGGTTGTTGTTGTTGTTGTTGTCGTTGCTGTTGATGGGCTCCACTGCCATCTGCAATCAGTGCCATGCCAATCACACTACAACTGTCGACCACCTCTTTACTCTCCACCTTTCTGCTCTCTTCCCACATCTCTATACTCTCTCACATCCCTACTCTCTCTATCTCTAATCTCTCCACATCCCTACTCTCCCCATCTGTAACCTCCTCATCATCTCTAATCGCTCCTCATCCCTACTCTCACCATCTCCAATCCCTCCTCCTCTCTACTCTCTCCATCTCTAATCTCTCCACATCCCTACTCTCTCCATCTCTAATCTCTCCACGTCCCTACTCTTTCCATCTCCAATCTCTCCACATCTCTACCCTCTCCACTCTCCATCTCTAATCTCCACATCCCTACTCTCTCCATCTCTGATCTCGCCACATCTCTACTCTCTCCATCTCTAATCTTTCCTCATCCCTACTCTCACCATCTCTATACTCTCTCACATCCCTACTCTCACTATCTCTAATCTCTCCACATCCCTACTCTCTCCATCTCTGATCTTTCCACATCTCTCTTCTCTCCATCTCTAAATTTTCCTCATCCCTAGTCTTTCCAGTTGTGATTATTTATTTGATCTCCGCATCTTGAAAACTTGTAAAACGGAGTTTAAGGGTCAGTTCACAATGAATCCACCAGGGCTGCAAACCATGGGTAGCAACAAAATCTAAACATAGTTCTATCCACGAAGCTCTTTCTTCAGCCGCTGCCCCCCCTCACAGGGACAAACCAGTGGGGAGCAGAAAGGTAGCTAGCCAAAGTTCTTGTGGCAAGTTGGGAGATCCGGTTCCGACCTGATGCGACAGAACATAAGTCATGCAATCTCCCAACCGGCCCCAAGACCCAGGAAGACTGCGCAAAATCGTCCACTTTCATCGTTTCGACCGAACATCTGCGTAACATGGGCTCAAGCTTGTACCCAACTTGCGTCCAAGGGCCGCTGTTGCTCCCAAGCAGTGCCATGTTGGAGCCAACTTGGTCCAAACGCATTTTCGTTGCACGATCCTACTGCAAGTTGCTGGGTTTTCAACTGTCCAAGGCGGCCCATGCCAGCTCTAGGGACTCCCCCCTCGCTTCTACTTCCAGCAGGGGCTTGCTCGCAATCTCTTACATCTCTTACCTTTCATATCATCCGGCGCAGGCGGTGCTCGTCGCGAAAGCGATTGTAGAATACAAGAATGTCTTCCGTTTAGCTCCTGTACTTGGGCTGTGACTCAAGTCTGGTTGAATCCACCAAGCCACAAATCTTGCCTTGGAGAACCATCAAATCGCAAAACACAATAGCTGATCTACAAAGTACATGTACCAAAAGGAATGTAGTATTCGACATGAATATGCCATATACAAATATATCATCATATGTATACAACCATAAAATATAAATATACCAATCATATGTATATATATATGTAGAGAGAGAGAGATCGTATATCTATAAATGAAAATCATATATCACTTTTTAAACTCTTAAAACAATTAAAACATATATGTATATAAATATATCAACTATATATATATGTGTGTGTGAATCATATATCATATAAATCATCTATATATATATATATGTGTGTGTAAATCATATATCAGATGTATATATTTTTAATCACCGACGGAAGTTTAGAAGTCAAACTTCCGACAATATGGACAGATGAAAAGCAGAGATGGGAAGAGTCAGAGAAGAGAAGAGAAGAAGAAAGAAGATCAAAAAAGAGAAAGCCTCAGAAGAAAGAAGATCCAGGCACGCGAAAAGGTAGGAAAGTCGCGAGACACTGTGTTTTTCCGATGATCTGTGGCTCCGGAGGGTCGACAAGTAGGCTGCTAAAGCGGCGGGCGCGGAGCCAGCTTGCCAGATGAGAGATGAAAAATTGCACGCCGTTGTTGCGCGAAGCACATTTCTAAGTCAAAATGTACAAAACACCTCAGCTTCGAAATACTTTTAGAAGCTGCCATGTCGAAAAAGTGCACACATTTCGAAGTCAAAATGTTAAAATCACCACATGCTCGGACCACTTTTGGAAGTTGAGATGTCGAAAAAAGGTGCACACCGTTGTGGCGCGAAGCACATTTCGAAGTCGAAAGTGCAAAAAACTGTGGGGTACGGAGCGCTTTTGGACGTTCAGATGCCGTTTTGCGTTGCAGGCGCAAGGGATTATGCACCTTGTCAAAGTGAGCAAAACTTCAGGGATTTGCAGCATTTCCAAAAACGACGGCAGGCGCGGGACATTTGAAGGGGATCTGCAAAGATACATTTTCCGTGGCAGGCGCAGTACAAGAGACATGTTCATCAGAGATGTTAAGAGGTCCGGACGCTGATTTCTGAGGGGTTGCATTTTGGAGCATCAGATCTTCAGTTTTGGCAAGATGACTTTGCGTGACAGGTGCGGCACTTCGTATGACTTGGCATCACTTTTTCGTGGCAGGCGCAGCACTTTAGACAGGTGGAGCGGAAAAATCGCAAAATGAATTGGCACGAGGCCGTGAGCTCTGCACTCAACTTTCCGTTTTTGAAGGAAGTCTCGCAGAATTGTTTCGTTTTTGATGTTGCCACCGTCGAAAAATGAGGAAGTCTCGCAGAATTGCTTCGTTTTTGCATTTGTTAACTTCGAAAACTGAGGAAGTCTCGCAGAATTCGTTTCGTTTTTGACGTGGTCAAGTTCAAAAACTGAGGAAGTCTCGCAGAATAGCTTGGTTTTCAAGCTTGCAGGTTGCAGCTAGACAGGTAGATAGATAGATAGATAGATGGGTGGGTGGATGGATGGATGGATAGATAGATAGACAGACAGACAGACAAGTACAACAACAACTACGACAACTACTGCAACTACACTACACTACACGACAACTACACATGCAAATAAACTATGCTACATTACACTACAATAATTACACTACACTACACTACACTATATAATTACACTACAATTAACACAAAAACTACTACCACAGCTACAACTAAAATTACAACTACACCACATTACACTACACTGCACTAATTACACTGCAGCACACTGCAACTACAAATACCAGTAGTACCGCACAAGGCGGTGGCGGAAGCTTCAAAAATAGGAAACCTATAGGAGAGGTTGGTTGTTGTGAATCACGGATGGCAGAGCGAATCCACTGATGGACCGAAAGGTGGTTGGAGTTGTGTTTTTTGGAGTGGTTGCAATGTTTGCATTGGTCACCTCACCACAACTGCTGGATGTAGCATGGCGTAGTGCAGTTGTAGTTGTAGTCGTAGTTGTAGTGTGCTGTAGTGAAGTTGTAGCTGTAATGTCGTGCAATTAGTGTAGCGTAGTTGCAGTTGTATTTGTGGTGTGGTGTAATTCGTGTAGTATATTGTAGTGTACTGTAGTGTTGTGTACTGTAGTTTGGTATAGTGTAGTGTAGTCTAGTGTGGTGTGTAAGGTAGCGTAGTTGTAGTTGTAGTGTAGTGTGGTGCAATTAGTGTAGTGTCGTGTAGTGCAATTTGGTGGTAGTTGTTTAGTGGTAGTTGCAATTGTAGTTGCAGTTGTAGTTGTAGTTGTAGTGTAATGCAATTAGTGTAGTGTAGCGTCGTGTCATGTAATGTAGTTGTAGTCGCATTTGTATTTGTAGTTGTAGCGTGCTGCAGTGTAATTAGCGCAGTGTAGTGTAATGTGGTGTAGTTGTAATTGTAGCTCGAGCTGTGGTGGTAGTAGTTCTTCTAGCTGTAGTGTAATTAGTGTAGTGTAGTGTAGTGTAGCGTAATTAGATGTAATTAGCGTAGTGTAGTGCAATTAGTGTAGTGCAATGTAGCAAAGTTTATTTGCATTTGTAGCTGTAGTAGTAGTGTAGTGTAGTTGTAGTTGCTGTTGTAGCTGTCTTTCTATCTATCTATCTATCTATCTGTCTATCTATCTTTCTATGTGTCTAGCTGCAATCTGCAAGCTTGCAAACGAAGCTATTCTGCGAGACTTGCTCAATTTTGAACCTGACAACGTCAAAAACGAAACAAACCCCGCTCAGTTTTCGAAGTTGACAACATCAAAACCGAAACAAGTCCGCAAGCATCCTCAATTTTTGAAGTTGACAACATCAAGAAAGAAACAATTCTGCGAGACTTCCTTCAAAAATGGAAAGTTGAGTGCAGAGCTCACGGCCTCGTGCCAATTCATTTTGCGATTTTTCCGCTCCACCTGTCTAAAGTACATCACACAACACTACACTACAAAAATTACATTACACTACAACTACAACTACAACTACAATTGCATCTACCACTAAATTGCACTACACGACACTACACTAATTGCACTACACTACACTACACTACAACTACAACTACACTACACTAGACTTCACTACACTATACCAAGCTACAGTACACAACACTACAGTACACTACGATACACTACACTAATTACACCACACCACAACTACAACTGCAACTGCAACTGCAACTACACTACACTAATTACACAACATTACAACTACAACTCCACTACACCACACTACACTACACTACTACTACTACTACTACTACTACTACTACTACTACTACACAAACAACAACAACAGCAACAACAACAACAACACCAGCTGCTTCTGCTGCTGCTACTGCTGCTGCTGCTACTACTACTGCTACTACTACTACTACTACTGCACTACACCACACTACATCCAGCAGTTGTGCTGAGGTGACCACTGCAAACATTGCAACCACTCCAAAAAACACAACTCCAACCATCTTTCGGTCCATCAGTGGATTCGCTCTGCCTTGTGCGGTACTACTGGTACAAATTTGTAAATATAAATATATGTATATATATATATATCATATATATATATGTCACACATATATGTATATATATATGTATATCAAATATATATATATATATCTGATTTATATATATATCATATTTATGATATATATGATATATATATATATTTAAAAAAAAATGTTTATGTATACAACTATATCTATCATGTATATCTCATATTTATATGTATATATATATATATGATTTATAATATATTTTTGTATGTTATATATTTCATATGTGTATATATATATATCATATATATATATATCATATATATATCATATGAATATATATATATATCATATATATATTATATATATATATCATATATATATAATATTTATTTACAACATATGTTTTGTAACTCATATATTAAATTGAAGTCATATACATATTATATATGTATATCATATATTTTTATGTGTATATATATATGTATACATTTCAAATAAAAATCATACATATAACATACATATATAAATAAATATTCAAAGCTGTATGTATCATATCTACACATATTTTTTTAGGTATTTATGTAAAAAAAATATTGTTGCTGTTGTGGTTTTTATTTTACTTACTAATTATTCATCATTTGTTCATTTATTTTCTTTTCATTTATTATTTATGTGAAGGTTTCATGTGCCTTTGGTCCGCAACCCGTGGTTTCTACGCAACACCAGCGCCGGTAAAGTGGGCAACAAACACAATGAAGAAATTTCTCGAAGGCACCTTGCGCTCACGATTGAAAGCAGCCTGGCGACAGCGTCTGAGAAACGCAACTCAAACGCAATCAGTGTCTCGTGAAAAAAACATCTTACAAGTTTGGTTACGAACCGACTCTTCTCAACAAAAGCGTTGGCCTCTGGTGTCCAGTGATATTTCGGGTTTGGCATCAAAAAGAAGGCCCCCGCTTCCGTCTCGACCTTAGAAGACACAACCTCATACAACACCACCCTGGGTACAAAAGCACGGCAACCTGAGACCTGGGAAGAGGGGCCTGGGAGGCTCCGGAACGGCGCGACTCAAACTGCAACGTACATATTTCTTCATGGTGGATTTTCGCATTCGCGCTGTTTGCCTCAATCGTTTAATCCTCATTTTTGTCGACGCCTTTCTAGCAACTGTTCAGCGCGCAAATGCAAATCTTCATTTCCAACAGGTAGTGCGTGTCACAAGTTTACGCAGCGATGCATGAGAACTCCTCGGAATGGGGAAGCTGCACTGCCGCAAAATCATAGTGGTGCATTCACATTGCTGGCCATTGGGGCCCCCACTAGTTCAGCACAACGCAATTGAAGCGCGCGCCGTGCATAACCAGAGGATCCTGAGGCAAGGCCTAAAACCTTAGCTAGGCAGTCAGCTCGGTCTGTGCTCCAGATCTTAATCTGGAAATGCCTCACCAAGCAAGATTGCTTTGAATTGTGGCTAGCGGCTAAGGAAGGCATTGTGAGGAGGGTATTGAGGCACCAACAATGTTTGACACCGGCTGGGACTCGTAGTAGGGGCACAACCTAAAAGGTTTCAGGGCACCTTCAACATTGTATGCATGCCACCCCAAGTTGAGAAAAAACAGGCGCGGACGTTGTGCGATGAAAGCCAGGCTTTTGTCGAATGGCAAAGGCCTAAGTACAATTTGCACATCTTGACATCTCTTGTCTGCGCGCGGCGCCATCTGTTCGAGACCGGTTACCAACAGAAAAGGAAATTGACCTTATGGTCAAATTGACCGCATGGTCGAACTCAAAAAGTTTGGAATCTGTGATTCGGAAGCACGCAGCGCAGTCTAACCGGAAGGAGCGAGCAATGCGCCCCATTCGCCCCTGCCGTCCCTGACTGTTGTCCTGTAATCTCCGGATGTAGAATTTCTGAATCTTCCCGCATGGTTTCTGAAGTTTATTCGGTTCTGCCGCCGTATCTTGGCCTCTGGCTTTTTTCTTGTGTGTTTATGTAATTTTTCAAACCACGAGTTTGTGACTTGCACTGTTCCGTTTCTGAATCCTAATTTGTGAATCGTAGTTGGTGACACGTGTTACTTTCTGAATGGCGCAAGTCATAGTTGTCTGAGTCGGTCCATGTTCGATTGCTCGGCCCCTGAAACTGATTGCCAATTATGTAAGCCAAGCATATCCTTGGAACCTGCACCTCGGATGGAGCTGATGTCATGCGGCTCACAGTTGCCTGCAAGTCGGACAGACAGGCGATTCGACAAGAAAGGAAAGCGTCTGTGTATAATGTATGTTCATCTTTAAATATTAGTATGTGTGTGTATGTGTGTGGTTGCATGTATATTTCTATTGATACATATATTCTTCAAATATCTATATAATTTGTGTATCTACATTGACTATATTGGCTGTATCTATTACACCAATGAATTTGTTCTACTTGGATTTTTTTTCGACACACGCATATCAAATCCAAACTGGAGGTTTCAACAACAGCAAGCACTATATATGTCAAATACTGCTGGCATCAAACACAACCGCCCGGCATATTCGTGAGAGCAAGTCTGCCCAGACCACGCGGCACTGGATCCTTGAGCAAATCTGGGCACAAAAGTATCCCTGCGCAGATTGCTCCTTGAACGGCACTTTGCGGTTATTTGCCCAAGGTTGCCCAAACCAAAAGTTCTACAACCACAGATTTCCCCTTGACGGCTGCCAGCCACTCGTGATTTGCTCATCAAGCGCCTGCTGTGTCAAAGTTATCATGATCGTCATCATCACCATCATCATCATCATCAGTAGCAGCAGCACCGGCAGCAGCAGCAGCAGCAGCAGCAGGAGCATCATCATCATCATCATCATCATCAGTCACAGCCACTGCAGAACCACAACCCCAACCACAACCACAACCCAACAATACCCGCAACAGCAGCAGCAGCAGCAACAACAACAACAGCAACAGCAACAGCAACAACAACAACTACTACTACTACTACTACTACCTACTACTACTACCTACTACTACCTACTACTACTACCTACTACTACCTACTACTACTACCTACTACTACTACCTACTACTACTACCTACTACCACCTACTACTACCACCTACTACTACCACCTACTACTACCACCTACTACTACCACCTACTACTACCACCTACTACTACCACCTACTACTACCACCTACTACCTACTACCTACTACCTACTACCTACTACCTACTACCTACTACCTACTACCTACTACCTACTACCTACTACCTACTACCTACTACCTACTACCTACTACCTACTACCTACTACCTACTACCTACTACCTACTACCTACTACCTA